TCCTGTGCTGGCCCAAGAGAAAAAATTGTTGTTTCAACGCGGTTTTTCTCTTCAGTTAGACGATAATAAGAAATAATGATTGTAGTCTCCTCAAATAAGTTATCCTTTTTTTAATTGTTATTTAGCCGTGGCACGTTTCTGCGATGTTCACTAGTAAATTACACAAATCTTAATTATCCTATAGCAAAATTTGCTGAAAAAACATATCAAACTTCAAATATAACAGGAACTTTCAAACAAAATGCACCATATTTCCGTAAATTTGTCCAGCCGGCTCACCTATAGCCGCGAACTTTTCATAAATCGTTATGTTAGTCAAATCTCATCCCAAATGGACAGGAGTGCACAATCACGTGCCCTTTTTGCTCACCAAATTAAATTTTCAAATACATTAGGGCACCACACAATAAATTTGCCGAGTAAATAGGCAGGACGAGTATAGCTAATCGCCTACTGCCTAGCGTAAAACACCGATTTCACGTAATCAACCAATCAATTAGGTATAATCATTTTATACTCTACACAAACATAGAGTCATAGACAACAAGAAGAAAAATAACTGGAGATCAGCAAAATTAAAGTAAGGTCAACCCCTAGCCCTTTTACTTTGACCAAAAGCACAAAAGAACATCGTAAACACCCCAACTTTAATTTGGATCCGACCAAACCAACCCAAACCTTATAAATTAATCATCCATCAATTGTCCATCCCTAATCCTTCATGTCATCTAGTATCTATAGCATTAAATACATTGTCACATAATAAAAAATATGATGTGGCAAGAGAGTTAATGAGAAAAGAGGTAAAAAGATAAAGAAATCGTTTCTAATGCAAGAAACCATCTCTAAACAAGAACCAAGAACGAAAACAAGAGATAGGTGGATAAAAAAGAGAGAAGATAGATTATTGGATAAAAAGTTTAATTTGAAGATACCATCCATTGGATATATAGTTTCCATACATATATAGTTTCTATTTAACAACTATTTGATGTTTTCTGGGTTGTAGATGCCCTAAAGTGTACTCTCTCCATACTCATAAAGAAAGTCGTTTTGGACAGCGACACGGTCCCCAAAACACAACTTTGACTTTTTATTTCTATAAAAATATTTATTAAAAAGTGATATATGTATACTTTTATGAAAGTATTTTACAAGATAAATCTATTCATATAATTTTTATATTTTCAAACACAACAACTTGAGAATTCATGATTTATATTCCCAAGGTTTGGCTTAATAATTGTCCTAAAAGACTTCCTTTACGAGTACTGTCGAGGGAAGATCCTTGATAGCGGGGAGTCGTGAGACCCCCCTTTCGTGAGTTCGGCCGGGGGCAGAGGCTCGCCTCTTGGAAATCACGCGTTCGCCCCTAAGACTGCCGGCTAGCTTGCACACAGTCGGATTATACAGGTTCGGGCCGCTATGGAGCGTAACACCCTACTCCTGTGTTTGAGATTATGGATAAGTTTTACAAAGGTTCCTTTGCTCCGGAGAGCGTTCTCGCTTTCCTTCTCCTAGAGCTCAGGTTTTCTGAGAGTCGTCCCCTTGTCTCGGTGGGCAAGGTCCTCCTTTTATAGCTCAAGGGGATACCACATGCACCGTCTCTACCTACCCTTCCATGGGAGGGGGACCCCACTCCATTTTGACTGGGCCTCGATTCGTGCCTTCCCTTGGAAGCTAAGCAGCAATCGGTCCTTGAGTGGGTCCCAGCGCCGTCCCCCGCCTGACACGGGAGACAACCCTGTCATTCCCTCATAAATGAGTGAAGACTTGTGGCAGCCCTCCTTCGAGTGACGCTCCGATGTGACAGATCACACCTACCCCTACTCCGCCGGAGACATAGGCGACATGGGGGCACGGCCGCCCGTTCAATCGGACGTGACTGGCAACAGGCCGGTCACAGACTGGTCACATCCGATTGACAGGGGTCAGTTAGGCGCACCGCACGTCTGCCCTTACCGCATTAAATGCAGTGAGGGACAGTTGGGGCACTGCATATTTATGGCTGTCCAGCCTGGGTCCCCTTCTCACACTCTCCCCCTGCCACGTGGCAGCTGGGCGTGGGCCTCGGGGGGAAGCAGCGGAAGAGCCCGAGGGGGTGACGTCGCGCCCTGAGGCCCCCCCCCCCCCCCCCCGCTGCCTTCGCGACTCGTGAGGTGTGTGAGTGGGGCCAGCTTGCAGAGCCACGTGGCTGGACGGGAAGGTAACTCTCCTTTACTTCACATACCCCCGGGCCCATATCTCCTACAGTAGCCCCCGGCACCATATCAGACATTGGCTTCCTGAGATCGGTCTGACATGGTGCCTCACGACTTCTCAAACTGGGGTTGTAGGCCCGTCGGGGAATCGAAAGGAATATTGCCGAGTGGCCGGGTTGGCGTGCCAACCATAGCAGCGGTTTGACCACCACTGATCGCGCTAATGATGAGGATGCTTGAGGTGCGATAACCGGGGGGTCTGCCAGACCACGCCTCGATTCCCTCGCCCGCTACTTCCGTGGCGGCAGTGGTGACGGTTCGCTCAGCTCGCGCTCATGGCCGTCGCGCACCCCACCTCAAGTGTGCCGCTGTCAGGCGCACTAAAGGCGGGACGCGGATACAACGGGCGATGTGATGAGTGGGCGCGGCAAACGAAGAGACAACTGTGGGCGCGAGGATCGTGGGGGAAATTATGAGGGCGTGGAACGAGGAGGTTAGCGCGGATGAGACGAGGATAAAAGGGGGCGGAGGCAGGGACTCCGCCTCCTTCCTTTCGACAACCGCCCACTCGTCCTCTCGCTCCTCGAACCCTAACATTCTTGCCACTTCACATTGTTCCGCACGCCGCGCTCTCCACCACTGCTCCGCCGACCACCATGGCTCAAGATGCTGGCGACACAGTACTCCCTTCTTCCCGCATTACGGCAGACAGGCACCTTAGTCTCCCCCGCAAGATCATGCCGGATGGCGCTGTTGTGAGGGCGGGGGAATCGCGGCCACGGCGGCGATATCCGGAGCAATCCGTGCACCTCTTGTCCTTCGCCATGGCGGGCTTGATTCCGCCGTTCTCCAGATTCTTCCATGAGGCTCTGGATTTCTATGAAATCCATGCCTTGCATCTTGCACCCAACGCCATGATGACGCTGGCCATCTTTGCGCATCTGTGCGAGATGTTCATCGGGGTGCGGCCGACGATGCGGCTATTCCAAGCCTTCTTCATCCCGCAGCTGCTGCAAGGTGCGGTGGTGGGGGGATGCTACTTCCAGCCCCGGCCAGGCACGGTGGGGCAGTACATCGAGAGTCATCTCCGCAAGAAATGGGAGGACTGGAAGAAAGACTGGTTCTACACCGCGTTGCCGGACCATCCGCGACTTCGAGTTCCCACTGGTCCTCCTGAAAGATCCGCCGCATGGCTGGCGGTTTCGGAGCAAGGCGAGGAATACGACGCGGTGTGGGATTGCCTCAGGGGCCTGCGAAGCCTGGGCCTCACGGGGGCAATGGTCTTTGGCGATTACTTCCGCCGCCGCATCGCACCTCTCTAGGAACGATCCCGTGGCGCGTGGGAATACACTGGTCCCAACGACCCCATGCGCACGCATGTGGACGAGCGCTGGGACTGGGGGGAGGAGGACGCGAAGATGGTGATCCGGCGGGTGCTGGGCCTGGACTCCGCCGAGCAAACACTAATCCCAGATGGGATCCTCCCCCTCTGCTGCGACCGCAACCGAGAGAGCATCTTGGCCGTGATGTCGGTTGTCGGTGCCGGTAGGAGCCGGCCCAGCCGAGGCGGCGCCAGTAGTAGCACCGTCGGCGCAGGTGGCGGTGACGCGACCGTGGGCGGGAGCCGGACAAGCGGTCCAGGCGGTGGTGGTGGCTCAAGGGCGCCCGGCCTGAGCCGCGGACCCGGAGACGACTCAGCCAGCGACCCAAAGGGGAAGCGGAAGGTGCCCGAATCTCGGCCGCCCTCTCCCCCGCGTGGAGGAGGCGCCGAGCGCGCGACAGATCGTCCGCCAGCGGGCCACAAGTGACCTGTCGGGCCCGAGGCCGGACGGAAGAAGAAACAGCTCCGGAAGATAGGGCAAACGGAGTCGTGCCGAAGGAGCTTCATCGAGCCCCCGAAGTGGACCTTCAACCGCCCTCCGCGCAGGTACGATTGCTGGCACCTACTTCGGTGCTCTTACCCAGCTCGGCCTCTTGTTCCCTCCTTTTCTTTTTCTTTCGTTAACGCGATCTGGGTTCTCTTGTAGCGAGATTCCTTCTCAGGGAGTCTCAGGGTCGGACCCCTCGCGGGGGACAAAATCTGAACGATCGGAGCAGTCCGGGCCCGGCAAATCCAGGGCCGCGGGGTCTTCGCAGCCTCGCGGTGGGACCCATAGGACACATACCGGGCCCGATCCCGAGCGACCCTCAGCCGGGACTCGACCTGCTGCGGGCGACGATAGCGGCGACGTCCCTCCCAGAGGCGGCTCCGAGACCAGGGTCCATGTGGAGCGCCACCCGGGATCAGGGGGTGAGGGAGGTCACAGCTCGAGAGTCGAAACCAGAGGTGGTCCTGAGCCCGAGGTTGAGGTCGAGGCTGGGGGCGGTCCCGAGCTCGAGGTCGAGGTCGAGGCTAGGGGCGGTCCCGAGCCCGAGGCCGAGGCCGAATCTACTCGAGGACCCAAAGCGGGGGGCGAGAGGGACAGCTGCTCCCCCTTGCGCTTGGGGCGCCTTTGGGGCTGGTCTCGCAGAAGGGGGGCTGAGAGCAGCCCCCAGTCTCACGGGGGATCCAGCAGTACCCCGTCGTCCCGGGGCCGGACCGTGGCTTTTTCTTCCCCGACTCCGGCGAGTATGGAGCCACTTCTGCAGGTGCTCGCCGCCGCCGACTCCACTGTCCGGGAGGGGCTCAACGTCCAAGTCCAAGCCCTGGCGGAAGAGCGAACGGCTCTAGACGCAGAGTGGGCACAGCTCGCTGCGGACCGCGCATGACTTGACGAGGGGCGCCGCGCCGTGGACGACATAGTGAGGATAGGGCGCAAAATGCGCCAGACCCAACTAGCCAAAATCCAGCCGCGCGAGGAGGCACTGGACTCCATCATGCGGGAGACGGAGGAGGAACGGCAGGCGGCGTTGATCGCCTCGAGCGTCCTGGATGAAGCGCTGGGCGACATCCGCCTCCAGTACGAGGCTTATGCTGAGGACTTGGCGAGGAGGATCAGGGACGCTCGCGGCATTCTCGACGCAGCCGCTGCCCACGAGCGGCGGGCATCGGAGGCCGACGCCTCGCTGCGGGCCCGGACGGCGGCACTCGAGGCTGAACGCAGGGCCTTGGATGATCGTGCCCGCTCCGCACAGGAGTTTGAAGCCACGATCCATCGGCGGATCGAGGTCCTCGACCGGAGCCAGTGCGAACAAAACGCGCGCGGCCAGGAACAGGCGCAGCGGGCCAAGGATCTGGAGGAGCGAGCGTGCCTGTTAGATCAGCGGGAGTCCACCTTGGCCGTCCATGAGAGAACGGCGGCGGAGGTGGAGGCCTCCCTTCGCCTTCGCGAAGAGGCCGCAGCTGAGCGTGACCGGATCACCCTTACTGCGAAAGCTTCCGCGGACCACCGCGCGGAAGAGCTACGGCTGCGGGAAGAGGCATGCCGGGAGCGGGACGCCGCACTCGCCGAGCGCGAAGCCGAGGTGAACCGCCGCGAGGTAGCCTTGCGCCGGCTGGGTGAGCAACTCACGAAACGTGAGGAGGCTGTTGCCGGGCGCGAGGCCCAGCATCTGGAGAGCGCTCGCGCCGAGCGTGCGGCAATAGTGGTGAAGGCTTCCGAGTTGGAGGCCTGGGAGAAGGACTTGGCAGCAGGCGGGCCGCCCGGCGGCGCGGGGTTGGTGAGCCAGCTCGCCATGGCTCAGAATACCCTCGCCGACCTGGAGCGCCTGGTGCAAGATCAGGCTGGGGAGATCGCGGCCCTCTGCCTCACCAACGAGATCGGGCCCGGGCAACTCTCCGACGCCGTCGACCGGCTGGAGAGCGCGGGGCGCCGAGTCGGCGTCTCTGTGTGTCGGGATAGCAAACTTCCGCCCACACAGCCAGCACTCGCGCTTCGGCTGGACGGGCTGGCGGCGGATCTGGAGAGGCTAGAGGAGGAGGTCGGCGAGACCATAAAGTCGTCGTCAGCTTCTTTGTCCCGGGCTGTGGTGGAGCTGGTCCTCGCAAGCCACCAAGCGCGTGACCCCGACTTCGTCCCATGGCGCGCGCTCGAAGATTTCCCCCCGAGAACTGAGGCAAAGGCCCGGGAGCAAGTCCGGGAGGCGGCCGACACGATTGTCTCGAACTTCGAGAGGTCGGCCCCCCGGTTCACCTTCGGGCTTGCCTCGGACGAGGAGAGCGGAAGTGGGGGTGACGACAATGACGTGGGCAACGAAGACTGGGACGACGTCATCAGCGGCGCCGGCCTCGGGGGCCCGGGCACTCCGTGACCACTCGCGCTTTCAATTCCCTTTTGTTGTGTGCCCGTAGCGGGCACTTCTTGTATTTAGGCCATCGTGCCGTCCTATCTTACTCTGCAACTGAAACTTCCTTAGTCCCTTTTACTCTTTTGCCTTTTTCATTCGATGTCTGTGACATAGAAAGAAGAAAAAACAGAGCAAAAGGGTATAATTAATCTGCCTGTGATCGAAATGCTGTTTTGACCCCATCCCCTACCTGGCGCGCCAGCTGTCGAGGGAAGATCCTCGATAGCGGGGAGTCGTGAGACCCCCCTTTCGTGAGTTCGGCCGGGGGCAGAGGCTCGCCTCTTGGAAATCACGCGTTCGCCCCTAAGACTGCCGGCTAGCTTGCACGCAGTCAGATTATACAGGTTCGGGCCGCTATGGAGCGTAACACCCTACTCCTGTGTTTGGGATTATGCATGAGTTTTACAAAGGTTCCTTTGCTCCGGAGAGCGTTCTCGCTTTCCTTCTCCTAGAGCTCAGGTTTTCTGAGAGTCGTCCCCTTGTCTCGGTGGGCAAGGTCCTCCTTTTATAGCTCAAGGGGATACCACATGCACCGCCTCTACCTACCCTTCCATGGGAGGGGGACCCCACTCCATTTTGACCGGGCCTCGATCCGTGCCTTCCCCTGGAAGCTAAGCAGCAACCGGTCCTTGAGTGGGTCCCAGCGCCGTCCCCCGCCTGACACGGGGGACAGCCCTATCATTCTCTCATAAATGAGTGAAGACTTGCGGCATCCCTCCTTCGAGTGACGCTCCGATGTGACAGATCACACTTACCCCCACTCCGCTGGAGACAGAGGCGACGTGGGGGCATGGCCGCCCGTTCAATCGGACGTGACCGACAACAGGCCGGTCACAGACTGGTCACATCCGATTGACAGGGGTCAGTTAGGCGCACCGCACGTCTGCCCTTACCGCATTAAATGCAGTGAGGGACAGTTGGGGCACTGCATATTTATGGCTGTCCAGCCTGGGTCCCCCTCTCACACTCTCCCCCTGCCACGTGGCAGCCGGGCGTGGGCCTCGGGGGGAAGCAGCGGAAGAGCCCAAGGGGGTGACGTCGCGCCCCGAGGCCTCCCCCCCCCCCCCCCCCGCCGCCTTCGCGACTCGTGAGGTGCGTGAGTAGGGCCAGCTTGCAGAGCCACGTGGCTGGACGGCAAGGTAACTCTCCTTTACTTCACATACCCCCGGGCCCATATCTCCGACAAGTACAAAGGGAGTATGTATCACTACTAGTCATCCATGGATGCACCCATTAATTTAATCTCTCTACAAGCTACACACACATCTCCCGCCCACTTGCATGCATATATACATGCACGAATGATTTAACCTTAATAATTACTTCCACACGTTTTCTCGCGGAAATGCTTGTTATCGATCATCTAGCGGAGAATAGAAAATCGGACGCCGACGCTTGTAGAAATAATTTTCTCTCTCTTCATTCTCCTTCCCACGCATCTACTACATACATGCTTTATGCTATAGACTTTATGCATGCATGGGACTTTATTTATAAGCTTTAAATATCTTTTTCTTCAAAACTGTTTATCCGATTGTATCATTGTATTTGTTGTAATTAAATCTTTACAACAAGGTCTCAGTTGATTGTGTTCTGACGAAATATATATATATATATGTTTTAGTCTGTTAAAATTTAATGTTTCACGTGTGAGAAATAAATGTTTCAGTTGGAATTTGACTATGTTGCACATTTTGTGTTCTATGTTGCAATTGATTTTTTTAAGTGTCGCAGATGGTGCTATTTGGGTGATTTAATAAATTTTTTTTTATGTTTCACTAGTTTATTTGCAAATGTTGCATGTGGTGTCATTTGGATGTTTCAATATATTATGATGTTTCACTAATTCATTTGTAATTGTTGCACGCGGTGTTGTTTGAATGTTTCATTAATTATTTTCTAATGTTTCATTAATTACACTTCGTTGTTTCATGTATAATATAGAAATGTTTCAATAAAGAATATAATTATATTTATATTTTTTTATTATAAACATAATCAAGTGAGATCTTGTTGCAAAGATTTAATTGTAACGAATATGATGGTGAAATCAAATTGTCGATAAGATAAGTAATTTAGAAATAATTTAAAGTTTTACTTAAAAATATTGCTAAGAGAGATAGAGGCTTGTACTGTGGTATAGGAGCTCATAGGCATTCATCAGTTGTCAGAGAATAGCTCAGACCATTTCTTTTGCAACGTGTAGCATGCTTGCCATGCAGCCTAGGAGACGTTAGACAAGCATCCAATATTTCGTAAAATATGGTACGTCCGATCCGTAGCTCTTTCCGTTTTCTTTCCGTTTTCTTGAGACATAAAAAAGCTCTCGACCTTCCGTTCTCCGATCTGCTTATCCTTTATTGTTGAAATTTCCATGAAGTCCCTCGCACGAATCCGCAGCCAATAAAACGGCCACTTCACTCCCTGTATATATATATTTTTTTTAAAAAAAAAAACAGGGTACATTCACATTCACCCTGCAAATAAAATATACACAAGTATGTTGTAGTTATACTTTTATAAATATGATATCGATAGATTGACTCGGTATATATTTAAATTGACGAAGATATTATAGATGTCTTGTTGTCGATGACCATACCATTTGATGCTAGCACATACTTAAGGAGGACACTGTCGAAGATATTGCCACATTAATGGCCTATTTGTTTTTAAGGAGTGGAATGATGAATTAATTTGCCACTCTATTCTCAATGAATGATGAGTTGTTAGTTCAGTAATATGGAATGGGTTTGTCTCCATATCACGCCTCATTTCTCAAGAGTACATGCTAAGTTCTTGGCTGAAGAATGGACTTATTTGTCAAATTTTTAAGATGAACCCATGACAGATCAACCATTCTAGATGCATGTTTTGAAAAGATCAGCACAAAAATGACGAGATAGCTAGATAAGCAGAATTTAAATAAGGTCAACGACCCTAGCACTTTTACTTTGACCAAAAGCACAAAAGAACAACACAAACACCCCACATTTTAATTTGGATCCGACCAAACCAACCCAAAACCTCATCAATTCCCCATCATGCATTAAGTCGGTCTCTCTGTCGAAGCCAGCTCGAGTGCATGCATATGCTTGACCTACACGCCTACACCCACATTTCCCGTCCACTTGCATGCATGCCATGAAATGATTTATCCTTATTTATTTCCACGCGTTTTTTCGAGACGTACGCAAAAAGCGCTAGCTCTTGTTGCCCCCAGCTTTAATTTGTACTCGAAATTACCATGAAGCCCCTCCCGTTCTGCTGCTCTGATCTCGCGCCTATAAAATGGCCACTTCACTTCTCCTCTCGATCACTCACCCACATCACACGCTGCGACGACAGCATTGCGAGCTATAGCTAAGCTAGTAGCTGCAATGGCGGTTCGCTACGAGAAGAAGGCGATGTGCGCGCTGCTGCTCTCGCTGATCATGGTGGCGCTCTCGGTGGCCGCCGCCGGCGACGGCGACGCGCCGCCGTCCACGCCGGTGTCGCCGACGACGGCTTGCAACGACACGACGGACCCCAGCTTCTGCCGGACCGTGCTGCCGCCGCGCGGGTCCAGCGACCTCTACACCTACGGCCGCTTCTCGGTGGCCCGGTCGCTGGACTCCGCCCGGAGGTTCGCCGGCCTCGTCGGCCGCTACCTCGCCCGCCACCGCGGCCTGTCGCCGGCGGCCGTCGGCGCGCTGCGCGACTGCCAGCTCATGTCGGAGCTCAACGTCGACTTCCTCTCCGCCGCCGGCGCCACGCTGAGGAGCGCCGCCGACGCGCTGCCCGACCCGCAGGCCGACGACGTGCACACGCTGCTGTCGGCGATCCTCACCAACCAGCAGACCTGCCTCGACGGCCTCCAGGCCGCGTCGTCGTCGTGGTCGGAGCGCGGCGGCGGCGGCCTCGCCGCGCCCATCGCCAACGGCACCAAGCTCTACAGCCTCTCGCTCTCCCTCTTCACCAGGGCGTGGGTGCCCACGGCGAAGGGGTCCAAGCACCACGGCGGCGGCAAGAAGCCTCACCAAGGCCACGGCAAGAAGCAGCCGCCGGCGGCGGCGGCGAGCATGAGGAGGGGGCTGTTCGACGCGGCCGACGGCGAGATGGCGCGGCGGGTGGCGATGGAGGGGCCGGAGGCGACGGTGGCGGTGAACGGGGTGGTGACGGTGGACCAGGGCGGCGGCGGGAACTACACGACGGTGGGTGACGCGGTGGCGGCGGCGCCGAGCAACCTGGACGGCAGCACGGGGCACTACGTGATCTACGTGGCGGGCGGCGTGTACGAGGAGAACGTGGTGGTGCCCAAGCACAAGAGGTACATCATGATGGTCGGCGACGGCGTCGGCCAGACGGTCATCACCGGCAACCGGAGCGTCGTCGATGGCTGGACCACTTTTAACTCCGCCACCTTCGGTGAGCAATACACCACCTCCTGACGCGGTTGTCTTTTCATGTAACGGTTGATCACTCATCTTATCTAAAAATTTAGTATAAATATATAAAAGTATAGGTTAAGATTATAGTTTTTTACAATAGAATAAATCACAACAAAATAAATGGTACTTATATAATTTTTTAATAAAAAGAATGGTGAAACGTCACGTGAAATTTAACGGCGTCATACGTTAAAAAAAATTGGGGTATACCACAAGTTTTGGCACGAATAGGTCAATTAATTGTTTTTCAAATTTTGAGACGTTCGAATTCTATTAGGATAAATTTTTGAAGAAGTGGAAGAGGCTAGATAGCAATTACTCTGGTGGCCATTAGTGAGCTTTGCACTTTCACTAAAGGACAAATGAAATTGGAGCATGAGACTAGCTAGGCAGGCAGCAGAGCATGATATATATAATGCTCTCATCGGCGCATATATGCATACATATGCATGGATTAGGGAGGATGTAACCAAAAAAACGTCGCTTTTAATTACTTGGCCCCATGCAACACTACAGGAGAATGCGTTCCACGATCCATTCCCGATCTATGGATGATAATTTTTGGTCTCATCAAATCATCATGCGCCATATCTCTCGTATTATATATTGCCCTAGTTTTATTTATATTTGACACACGTAATAGTACTCCGCCATTTAAAATATAATATTTTTAGACTTCAACGTTATCTTCGAGATACTACTTTAACCAATACTACATCTCTCAAAATACAACAATTTTTAACTATAAATCTGCACTCACACTTGTCCAGATTCAAAACTGAAAATGTTTAAATTTTGGGAAGGGGGGAGTAATATTTATAGAAAAAGTTATTTTAAATAAAATGAGTTACGAAGTATATATTATGTAACGACGTAAACGATATTTTCAAACTTTTTGTTATATATAACAGTCAAAGTTATAAATATTTGATTTAATATTATTATACAAATACTTATATTTTAGGATGGATTGAGGTAGAGGGAGTAATAGATTTGTATCATAAAAAGAAATGAAACTTAGGAATCGAGGTAGAGGGAGTAGTAGATTTGTACCATAAAAAGATCAAACTGTTGAATTGTATGCTTCTTTTTCATACATATATATAGCTGTGGTGGGGCAAGGGTTCGTGGCGATGAACATGACGTTCCGGAACACGGCGGGGCCGTCGAAGCACCAGGCGGTGGCGCTCCGGTCCGGCGCCGACCTGTCGGCGTTCTACGGGTGCAGCTTCGAGGCGTACCAGGACACCCTCTACGCCCACTCCCTCCGCCAGTTCTACCGCCGCTGCGACGTCTACGGCACCGTCGACTACGTCTTCGGCAACGCCGCTGTCGTCTTCCAGTCCTGCGCCTTCCTCTCCCGCCTCCCGCTCCCCGGCCAGTGCAACACCGTCACGGCGCAGGGCCGATCCGACCCCAACCAGAACACCGGCACCTCCATCCAGGGCTGCTCCCTCCTCGCCGCCCCGGACCTCGCCGCCGCCGGCGACGGCGGCCGGACGCTCACCTACCTCGGCCGGCCGTGGAAGAACTTCTCCAGGACGGTGGTCATGGAGTCCTACGTCGGCGGCCTCGTCGACCCGGCCGGGTGGATGCCGTGGTCCGGCGACTTCGCGCTCGACACGCTCTTCTACGCCGAGTACAACAACTCCGGCCCCGGCGCCGACACCAGCCGCCGCGTCGCCTGGCCGGGCTACCACGTCCTCGGCGCCGGCGCCGACGCCGGCAACTTCACCGTCACCAGCATGGTGCTCGGCGACAACTGGCTGCCCCAGACCGGCGTCCCCTTCACCAGCGGCTTCCTCACTTCCGATCCACCTATTAGCTAATGCATTATTTAATTAATTATATATATGATCATCTAAACCCATCTATTAATAATTAATTAATTATAGAATGACAAACACATAATGTACTACTACTATTCGATCGATCTCGGTGTCGGCATTATTAGTTAGTTTACTTCTTATTTATTAGTTACAATATTTGTGAGATTGAGATGACAGGTAAATTAAGCGAAATTAGTTTAAGAGATGGAGTAATAATACTATTATGTGTGCAAGAATAAGAGAGGAGTATAGTACTAGTGGAGTGGTGGTATACTGGTATTGTGTGGGTTGGTTACTTGACTTCTGCTAGTGCAGTAGCAGATCGATCGGATAAAGAGTTGTACACTTTGTACTACATGGAAAGGTATATATGGTTCTCAGCCTAACTTTGTGGTGCTTTTGTTGTTTCCAACTTTCCATCAGCATATGGACTGTGAGACACTACTGTGATTTGCACTTTAACTTTATGTCCAGTCGAAAATTAATGGCTGATGAAATCAAGTGATCAAATCATACCTAGAGATATCTAAACCAAATATCTCTGCTTTAAAGCATGTTCAGAATAGTGAGCAGTAGAGATGGCAATGGGGAGCCATGACCCGATATCCGACAGATTTTTACTTTATTAGACGTTAATCATGTTTTAACTCTTATACCCATGGGTCTATTGACAACGAAAACTTTTGCGCATTGGATACATTGGTATGGGTATGTTCTTTACCCACCCGTACCCACCAACCCGTGGGTAAAAAACCCAATAGATTGAGCCTAAAAATATGAGTAACATAAGTCCCAACAATTATTAAACCATAGTATAAAACTCCTTTCACATCTTAAGCGTTGTTCTAATCTAGTTATATGAAATTGTTATTTGATTTATTGATTATGTAATGTGGTTGCAGTTTTTTTTTTTTACTCTCCTTTGAACGCTAATGTTAATAGCATTTTACATCTATTTTTCACGTGCCCTTTTGCACATCAATGCTGGCACAACTTAGGTATGAATTGGAACCTTCATGTGGATCCCATGAGCATGATTTTAGAAGCAAGGAACAATTTTACCCATCTCTTCTTCATGGAGGTTTTCGCAATCTGTTGCTGGAACATTTGGAGCAGAAGAAATGATCTCATATTCAACAATGTGCCTGTAAGCTTTAGAAAATGGAAGGCTGACTTCAAGGAAGAGTTTACTCTACATGTGCATACAGTAAAAGAAGTTGATAATACAATTTGGCAATCATGGATACAACAGCTATTTTGATCCCCTCTGTAAATCTCCTGTAAATTCTGCCCCTCTCTCTTTTGTATTCTTCTTCTGTAGTTATTTTCTCAATAAAGCGCAGTAGGAGCTTCTGCTGCTGTTATTTCCCGTCAAAAAAAAGTTAATAGCATTGTTGCCAGAGAAAATATTGATGGTTTATAGTTCTAATATGCCTAATTACAGTACAAAACTATAAATGCTACGAGCCAATTATATGGGTATGGGTACTCATTGGGTACCCGTTACCCGCATGGGTGTTGGTATGAGGACGATTTTGTACCCGCGATAGATGTGGGTATTTAAGTGGGAATATTTAGCAGGTGCGGGTATAGTGCAAGGGAACCGATAGATATGCACCCGTTGCCATCTCTAGTGAGTAGAGAGATGCTCAAAACATTGCCTTTTTCTTGGCACTGGTTACATGAGGTGCAGCTTCCAGGGCTCTAGGTTGAAAGTACCTAGAGGTGATACCTAGCTCTCATGCTTTTTTCTCGTGGCAAGAGGAAAACCTCCTTTATTTTTAGGATTCCTAGCCACATGGATCTTTAACAAGTGCCAATATTCTAGTCTTTGATCTAAAGCTTCCACATTATTCTTATTTCATCGAAGAATAACTAGCCAGGCTCTTGGATGAGGCCGAGTTTCTCTATACATGTGTAACAAACATGATAGTGAAAAGGAAAAAGTACACCGAAGGTCCCTCAACTTGTCATCGAGTTATAAAATCGTCCCCAAACCGCAAAACCAGATATACAACGTCCCTTAACTAATCAAAACTGGTCATAAATAGGTCCTTCGGTGGTTTTGACTCCGGTTTTATCTTATGTGGCGGCTGAGTAAGCGTGGGACCCATGTGGGCCCCACATGTCAGTACACCGGCACGTTCCAGATAGGCTTCCCCATCACCTTGCGCCTCGATGCCAGCGGCGTGCTCTACCTCGTCAGCAACAATGGCAGCTACACCAAGAACTTGACGAAGGTCAGTGCAGCTACTCAAGCCCGCGCAGGCAGCAGCTACACGCTGTTCGTCAAGACCGGTTGAGCGGTGAGCCCAGCGCTCGGCGGCGACGGCAACCACCACCACTGCCCCAGGCAAGCAAGCACCGTTGCGCTAGTGTCGGGCTCCTGATGTTCGTCGCGCTGTGCGCCCTCCTCGCGTCGGCGGGGCTGCTCTGGTTGAACCAGAGGACGGTGCGACGGCACGTCGCGCTAGCCGACGTTGAGGCCTTGGACGACGAGGCGCCGCTCCGCTTGTACAGCTATGATGAGCTGGATCACGCGACGTACAGCTTCCGCGCCGCGTTTGGCACGGTGTTCAAGGGGACACTGCGGCACGGCGGCGAGAGGGCGGTTGCCGTGAAGTGGTTGGAGAAGCTGGTGGAGGACGGCGAGTGGGAGTTCCAGAGAGAGGTGCGCGCCATCGTGCGGAAGAGCCACTGCAACCTGGTGCGCCTGCTCAGCTGCTGCCACGAGGGCGCCAACCGCCTCCTCATCTACGAGTACATGAGCAATGGCTCCCTCGCCAACTTCCTCATCTATGACTACATGAGCAACGCTGTGCGAGAGGGGGAGAAGAAGGGGGCACGCGGCCATGGCAGCTCTCCGATGCTCCGCGTCCCCTGCCTCGAGGTAGGAGAGGACAGGGATGGCATTCTTGCGGAGGGAGCAGGCGGGGAGGAGTGGGTAGGAGGAGAGGTTGTCGATGGAGAGGCCGAGGCGGATGTCGAAGTCGAGCCGCTCCTGGAGCACCTCGAGGGAGGAGGGGAGCTCGACGGCCTCGAGCTCGCCGGCGGGGTCGGAGACGCCGACGGATTGGAGGAAGTCGAGCGCGAGCACGCGGGAGACGAGCTGCTCCTTCCTCCCCTGGATCACGCCCCACGTCACCGACGACATCTCGTACTCCAACGACGGCACGGTCGCCTTTGCGCGCGACGGGGAGAGCGGCGCCTCCTCCTCTTCGCCGGGTTGCCACCGTGCTTCCAAACTACGGCTGCCGTCGCGAAGCTGCCCTCCTCCTCTCCCGTCTTGCCCCGGTGGCCTCCTCACCAGCCGCCGGCCGGCTTGCCCTAAGAAGAGGAGAAGAGGAGAGTGAGAGAGAGAGAAAGGAGGAAGGGAGAGAGATGATGTAGCATCTGACATGTGGGGCCACGTGGGTCCCACGCTGACTCAGCCACCACGCAGGACAAAACCGGGGTCAAAACCACCGAAGAACCTATTGTGACTGGTTTCGATTAACTAAGGGACGCATGATATCTGGTTTTGTGTTTGGGGATGATTATGTAACTCGATGACAAGTTGAGGGACCTTCAGTTAGGGGTGGAAACAAGCTGGTTCGACTCGGCTTGCACTGACTCGCAACAAACTAGTTTGGCTTGGCTCAGCTTGGTTAGGGAAACAAGCTAAAACTTGAGCTCGGATTGGCTCGTTTTCTGGCTCGAGCCAGCTTACAAGCCTTCCTGTTTAACACCTCTTCATATATATTTCATAATTATTAAAAAAAGTAAAAACAAATCATCAACATGTAAAAATTAAATAAGTTTATATATTCAATTCTTCGAAATCTTAATGATAAATTTCAAGTTGACAAATAATAACGCCATATAAAGTAAAATAATCGATATAAACACACGATAGCCTAGGCTCACGAGTCAAAACAAGTGGTTCATGAGCTAGCTCGGCTCGGCTCATTTCAGCAACGAGCTGAAAAGGAGGCCCTATCTTTTTTCCACCCCTATCTTCGGTGTACTTTTTCCTAGTGAAAAAGGTCAGACAACCCTCCATAGGACGAGCTAAATCAATTATTCACATGACCCATTTAGTCACACTATATATATTTGGGTAAAAGTCTACTGTAGATCCCTCAACTATAAGTCGAATGGATACCCTCAATCATGAAATCATGTATAAAGTACTCCTAACTCCTAAAACCAGTGTAAATTGACGTGTGAACCCTTAGTAAGGGTGGGGCCAGTCTACATGATTACTTAGCATGGTCAACAAGTCACGTTAGCCCCAAACCACTCTATAGACCACCGATTTACATTAGTTCTAGAAGTTGTACGACACTTTATACCTCACTTTATAGTTGAGACTGGAGAGACGCAAATGAAACACTACCTGTATTGGAGGGATGTAAGGTGGACTTTTCCTACATTTGGGGACAGTAATAATCAGGCCTCTGGAGCAAGCATCGGACAAAATTAATTATTTGGGAAGCAACTGTTGCATTGTGGGTAGCCCATCGATTGTTGCGATATGTTTACAGATATTTGGAATTATTTTTTCTTTCTTTTCTCAAGAAGCAAAGAAGAAAACAATGCAAACTTAGGATGACGAGCTTTATTCTTTTTTTTTCAAGGTGAGATTAAAACTGTGGGTGCAGCGAACATCAGATCAAGCAATCAGCCATATATATATTAAGTTCACATTTTTTTTAATAAGGTGCATTCGAAAAATTCCTTTTTTGTTCCAAGACATCAAGAAGGTGGTCCATGCCACGAATGAGGCGTTAAAATGAAAAGGAAAAAAAAAGCTTTGCCCCCCTTTGTAGGAAGACGAAATGGGGCCCATTCAAGTATTTTATATAAAAAAATTGTCTTGAAAATTGTATGAGCTAATAAAGGCAACTCAAGGACCCATGTGTGATTGTAAATATTGGAATTTGGAAATATTACTTTTTTACATGAGGGATATTTATGTTTTTAGGGTAGTTCTTGGACAGAAAAAAAATGCGTTTCCCTCAAAAAAAAAAAGAAAGGCGATACCGGATTATGTGTGAGAAACCGTCACCAAAACAGGCGTGAATTTTAAATTACCGTCGCCGACGGTTTTGCACGTCCAAATTTAAAACCAAGTTGTGGAGGTAATTACTAAATTGAATTCGAAACTAAACAATAGAAATCCTTGTGGGGTCTGGTCGTGACATGAAGAATATATTGGCGTGGATACCGGCCGGCGCCGACGGACGAACAGAAGAAAACGCAACAACAACGAAAAAAGAAGAGTAGGAATGAGGTTGCAGCATCTATCTGAAACTATTTTACCTTTTGGGATTTGACCAAACCTGCATGTTCTGATGTTCAGGTTCAGCTGAACTAAACCTCGAATACATGCAATGCACTTCTTTTTCGTTTGGATAAATGTGTCACGTGCGCTAGTGACTGCTCACCGATCGAAACGTACGGGGCCTAGATCTCTCAATTTTGGAGGTATCCGGCCTGCATTTTAAATTTATGTTTCCAGCTTGAGTGACTTTTGCTATCCTTTTCACTGCGATTTGGCTCGTGGTGAAAATTAAATCGCTCCTTCCATTTCTAACTGGGATTTATCTCGTGGTGAATATATATTACTGTCGTTTTCTCCTAAAGATTGAAGTGGTGGCCGGTGGGTATCAATTTAGTGACCCGTTCTTTTGACTGTCGTTCAAAAGTCTTTTGCACGTGGTGAATAACTATATAACTTCAAATGTTTGGATATATGTATGGAGTATTAAATATAAACGAAAAAAACAACTAATTACACAAATTACATGTAAACGAGACGAATCTTTTAAACCTAATTGTGTCATGATTGAACAATGTGGTGCTATAGAAAACAATTGTTAATGACGGATTAATTAGACTTAGTAAATTCGTATCGTAGTGTACAAGCGGAATCTGTAATTTATTTTGTTATTAGTCTATGTTTAATACTTCAAATGTGTATCCGTATATCCGATATGACACGTCAAAACTTTACATCCATATATCTAAACACCCCCATTTGTCCTAAATATTTTCTCACCGAGGGGATTGGTTATTGTAAATTTGAAAAGAAATAATTGATCGGAACAAGAGAATTTGTCACCTAACTTTATGCTCATTTATATTTTAGAAAATGAACAAATGAGACTTAGAAAATAATTCCATTAACCTAGTTATTCTATTATAGTAGTTTCTAAGAAAATCATTTGATCCAACTAAGCCCTTGTATTTTAGCATACGAATTAAACACAGCCTACGTTTTAACACTCCCAATATTTTAGCACTACCCCGAAATTTCCGTTTCCAACGCGACGAGGGGAGTTTGAAATGACAGGTACCAGAGTTGAAAAGGAGTAAAAGCAGGAAGCAGCAATACCTCTAGTACAGCCTACAGCGACCTCCGCGGCGTGGCGTCGGTAAACCCCCCGCGTAGGCGCAAACCCACGTCCACCCCACCCACCGTTTTCCCCCCTCCAAAACCAGGGCCGCACCGCCACCGCCACCCCCCAACCCCGCCCTTTCCGCCGAGGCGTGGCGAGGCCACCCCCCACCTCGCTAGACGCTGACCCCGTTCAACGCACCCGTCCTCGCCTCCACGCCACTTGTCCCCCTCCCCGCCGCGCCATCCGCTCGCGATCCGGGCGTCCGGGCACACGCGGCGTGCGTACGCAGCCACACGGCGCGGCGCGGCATCTGCGTCGCGCTTGCCGCCTTTGGTACAGCTGCTGCTGCTACAGTGTTCGAGACGCGCGACGCGAGTCAGTGGCGGTGCCGGTGCCAGGCGCCAGCACCAGCAGCAGCGGCCCATCACCACGCGGACACTCCCCCCCCCCTACTGCTACAGTGTCACTGCAGCTGCCACTCGCCACGCACGTGAACGTGTAGGAGTAGTCTCTCACAGCTCTCGCTTTCTCCTCTCACTTTTCAGGGAGACGAGCCAGCGACTGTGCCAATGTACTACTCCTACCCCCTCTCCTACTCCTGTTAACAAGTTGTGCTGCTATATAGAGGAGCAGCCGAGCAAGTGTGTTGCTAGAAGAAAAGCCTTGTGAGTTGGTAATTGATAGTAGCAAGACAATGTGTGGGGGAGCGATCATCGCCGACTTCGTCCCGCCCGCCGGCGCCCGCCGCGCCGCTGCCTCCGACATCTCCGACAACGCCGTCCTCTCCGCTGCCGGTGCCGGTATTTCTATCTATCTACTCCTATTCGACATGAACAGATGTTTCCCATGTCCATTTCTTTGCAGTCCTCGCATGCGCAACGTGTCCACTGTTTAGATGGATGCACACGGTTTTGTAACGTAGCTGCAGAGTCCTATCCTATATATGCGTGGTTAATCTTCTAATTGGCTGTTTTCCTGGGTCGCGTCTTCTTTGTGCAGGTGACGAGTCGTTCGCGGCGGCCAAGGCGCCGGCGCCGGGGAGGAAGACGGCGTACCGCGGCATCCGGCGCCGGCCGTGGGGACGCTGGGCGGCGGAGATCCGCGACCCGAGGAAGGGCGCCCGCGTCTGGCTCGGCACCTACGCCACCGCCGAGGAGGCCGCCCGCGCCTACGACGTCGCGGCGCGCGACATCCGCGGCGCCAAGGCCAAGCTCAACTTCCCCCCGACCATCGGCGCCGCCGCCGCGCCACCGCCGCCCAAGAAGCGACGCAAAGCCGCCGCCGCGGCGAACCACCACCACCACCACCACCAGCAGGAGAGCTCAGGCTCCTCGTCGGCGTCGTCGCTGCCTCCCACCCCGCCGCCGGCCGCCGAGCACCAGCTCCGCGAGTGCATGTCCGGGCTGGAGGCGTTCTTGGGCCTCGAGGAGGAGGAGGACGACGGCGGCGCCGGTGAGCCATGGGACGCCGTCGACATGATGCTCGAGTAGGCTCGCCGGGAATGGCAGCGTTGCCATGCTCATGCATCCAAGCTTATTCATGCATGCAGCAGCAAGATATACAACTTTAGTACTACTACTATGTTAATTACTACTTACTGCGTAGGTAAATGAAATAAAATGGGGTTGGTTAATTAGGGTGTTCTTCTGGGAATCCTTGGCTTTGCTAATTGCTAGTACTACTATGTACTTTGGCGTTAAGCATTGCATTGCCAGGTGATGCATGTCATGTAATCGTGGTAATTATATGGCCGTCCTCCTAGAGCTAGCTAGCAGATTAGATTTACTATATAAAGTGGTAGTAGAAATATATGTCCTCCTAGAGCTAACTAGTGTCTTGTAATGATTTCAGACTTCTTGGGCAACATGAGCAATGCATTTCGACTTCCACTTTACATCTATATACCTCTATGAAGGAAATATGTAAGAAAATTAGTAATTTCTTATTTGGTCATTCGAAACAAGGATTGGGACTCCGGCTGAACTGCTGAAGACATTAGCGTTAGGTCCCATCCGATGGAAAATTTCGATTAGCACCACATCTAACCTTATGGAATATTTTGTTTGAGTCTCTCCCCTTTTATCTCTTCTCTTCTCTAGGCTCTCTTTCATTTGAAGGAACAGACTCTCTTTGAAATTTTATTGGAATTTTAGAGGATTTTATTTCTATAGAAAATTTTCCTACGTAGCCTTTGAATCGAAGAATTTTAGAGGATTTTATTCCTATAGAAATTTTTCATACGTAGCCTTTGAATCGAAGGAATGAAATTTATAGAATGAACTTTATGGAATCCTATTAAATTTCTATATGGAATTGGATTCTATATGGAATTGGATTCTATGGAATTGCCTCTTCCATATAAATCTTAGAGGAAATTAACTCTACGAAATCCTATGAAATTCCATATAAGTTATAAAGATTATAAAGGAAATTCCATATAAGTTATAAAGGAAATTCAACATTTGGTAAAACCTTATAGAAATTATCCTTTGAGTATTTATTAATTCTTAAATTAGTGTGTTTTTTCTACGGTCCAATCAAACAATCATTTCTGTGTGTTTTGTATTTATTTTACACTTGTATTCCTATCAGAATCCTAAGATTTTTCTATTCAACCTTATTTTCGTTGATTCAAGGTGGCCCTTAGTTCTCGTGTTTTCACGTGATTTTTTAAACAATTAATCACAATTATTCATGTCTGTTCTTTCTGTGTAAATTTTATATTTCTGCTAAAAATCCTACGTTGTTTCTATGTTTTTTCTATTTATATGATCTTTTAGATAAATTTAATAATATGTCACCCAATTTACAATAGGAAGTTGTACCGACCATGGCCTTGTTTGGAAGGCCTTGTTTGGAATGAGAAATTTAATAATACGCCACTTAATTACAATTGTTTAAGTATATTGAGTTCTCATGTTATCAAATTTCTTTTGAACCGAGGATTTTTGGAGTGTTTTTTTTTTGCATGCAGTGAAATACTTTTAAAACGAGGATCGATTGACGCATGCAGTTGGTACTACTTCAGTATGTGTGACTTTTCAGTTTGTCACGGTAGTTTCCTTACGTCCGTGGCCAGCTGCCGTGTGTTCTGCTTCTGCCAGCCCAAGAAATTTTTTTGATCCAGTGTGTTCACTCTGATGTCATTCCTATTCATAAATGTAAATGTTCACATTGATTTCTATTCCGGCGATTATATATGTAATCCTGCCCTCTAGAAAAGCTATATATACTCTCTTACTGTGTTCTGTATATTTGTGATACTTTGACTTCAAATATATAGATTTGTGATAGTGCTAAATCTGTAATTCTACGATGCCAACACCTTAAATCGTTTTATAATAATTTAGTTAAATTTTACAGTTTTATAAAATTTATTGTAATTAATAATACCTAATTAGAAGTTCAATTATAGATATGGTCATTCGTCGTATCGCGCACAATTGCGCGCTCCAAATCCACCCCTAACTAGTTCTTAATTCAAGTTATCTTGAAATTTCGGTAATTTTGCAAACTCCTGCCCGGCAAGCACAAATCTCCCTGAAATTTTCGGGTTTTTTTCAAATACTTGTAAAGTTGATTAAATTTTGTTCAAATTCAGTCAAAATATGCTAAAAGTTCAAATGATTTCGGTCCGAAAAACCAAAATAAACACGAAATTTTCAAATTTTCGGCAACCACGGAAAATGCAAACCCTGTATCTAGCAGTGCAGGAGAGCTAACTAGCTAACTACAGAATCAAGGTGTTCTAGCTACCATTTGTCTGATCCTCGCTGCTTCTCTTCCTCTACACTGGTGGAGAAACAATTTTTACTTTCGGTTAGAAACCCTCCTATAGTCCCGGTTTTCTAACCGGGAGTAACAATCCGAGACTAAATATCGCTATCTTTAGTCCCGGTTAAAATACCCGGGACTAAAGATCGATCTTTAGTTCCGGTTGGAAGGTTTTTTTCTTTTTTTTCCATTTCTCTCTTCCTTTTTCACTGTTCTTTTGCTATTTGCCCTAATCATCTCAGATCAAACATTCACAGCAAATCATTCACAACATTATCTCAGATCAAACATTCACATCACACAGCAATATAGTTCATCCAAATCATTCACAACAATGGTTCATCCCAAATCATTCACACAATAGTTCATCCCCAAATCATTTACAACAACAACACAGATCAAATCACACATTCAACACATATCGTATCAATCAACACAGATCGAATCGCACATTAAGCGAAAAAAAGAAAAAAAAATCCACAGCAGCGCTGGCCTCCACCGCCTGCTGCCGCACCGGCCGCCGCCGGGCGTGGCCCTCCGCGCGAGGCCGCCTCCCCCTTTAGATCCGGCGGCGGCCGGCTGCCTCTCCTCCGGATCCTGTTGACGAAAAAATCGAACACACTGGCCTGGGAGATCTGCTTAGCTCCTGTGCAGGTCCAAAGATTAATGAGATGCGGGCGTGCCAGTTAGTTTAATCCTGCAACTGACAAGATATGTAAATAGCAGACAAAATAGCCAATCGGCTAGACAGCCGATGGAGCAATGTCAGCCGATAGCCGATGCCGATACCAGCCGATATCGATAGGGTTTAAGCAATCGGCTATATGTCCAATGTAGATAATGATATAAAGACAAGCGGCTGCTGATAATAAAATATAACAATAATATAGTCCAGTATAAACCAATCAGCTAATATTGATATGATAGAATAAGCACTGATCCGAAGGTTAAAGCATACATCGGCTGGAGATCCGATGTCATGAAACCCACAAGATTAGATTAAACAGTGAAACATTTGTTTTCATCAGCTAAATCCAACTTATATGTATATGCAATCCTTATGAGCCGATGCAACGTCCAGATAACTCACCGGCTGAAACCCCGATGATAACCCTTATTGGCAATCAAGAAGCAGGCTAGAGATTATGGTTCTAAGCACGACTTAGTAGATCAAACTTAACTGATGTAGCACTAAGTATGAAAAGAAACACAATATCTAGACAATCAAGCCTTTGACTGAGTTTTTAGGGTGGTAGATGCCTAAGCTAATCTAATCTAGCAACACGATTTAGCCGATACCGGCAGAAACCCTAAAGCGAGAAGCAGTCGATAGAGCTAAATTGATATGCTAAGACTAGATTAACAGAGACATGATAAATAGGTAGACAAATATATCATCCAAACCAGAGCAATCCAAGAGGTCGAATGTACTAATGCAGCCTTGAACGACGCCGACGTAAACGATACAATTGCCCGGGCCGACAGAACATTGGACTTATCCCTTTGCCGGAGATCGAAGACGATGCAGCCCCGTGTCGGGTGCCAAGTTCCGCCGGAACGTAAAAACAAAAGTAGAAAAGGTAAAAGGTGGCGATGCGCCGAATTGTATTGATCGTGAGGATAGATTACATAGACCCCGGGTGTACATATTTATACCCATGGGTTGATACAAGTCCTTGTCGGACAAGAAAGAAACTAACCTAAAGATAAAAGGAAAATATAAAGTCCTTATCGGACACTAAACACACTTTCCTAAAGATAAAAGGAAACTAACAAACTATTCCTAATTAATAGATAAACTGCCATGCCGCATCCTCTTTAAACTTGGTCACTTAGGGATAAGCTTCCTTTAGTAGATTGATTTCCTTAACCGAATATAGCAGGAATCCGACTATTGGTGACTTGATAACTCCCATCAGCTAATTGCGAGATGCTGCAGCCGATAATGATTCTAAGCCGATGACGTCTTTGCCGATTACCAAATTTCACTGTTAATAGATCTGTTGCCGCCCGGCTGCCGCGATGCGAGGCCGCCTCCGACCCGTCGCGCGAGGGCCCAACCGCCGCCGCCTGGCTGGCTGCTGCGGCGCGAGGCCGCCTCCGCCTCTGCCCGGCCGCCACCGCACGAGGGCCCCACCGACGCGCCCGGCCGCCGCCGCCGCTTGGCCGCTGACGGAAGGGAGGAATAGAATGGGGAGAGGAGAAGGAGGAAGAAGAGGAAGAGATGGGAGGAGGAAGAGATAAGGAGTAGAATTTATTAACTCCTAGATCTCGCGCACTCCTCGTCCTCTCCGCCACGCATGCGTGCATGCCGATATTTTGTTCCGGTTTAGGCTACCAACCGGGACTAGAAATAGATCTTACCAACCGGCACTAAAGATAATAGGGATCTTTTTTCCCGGTTGGTATTACCAACCAGGACTAAAAATAGATCTTTAGTCCCGGTTGAGAACACCAATCGAGACTAAAGATAAAAAAGTAGCTCTAACCTTTTGAACCGGAACTCTTTAGTCCCGGTTTTTATTGCAACCGGGACTATTGTGGATTTTGGCTGACCGACCAAAGATGGTTTCTCCACCAGTGTTACTTGCTCGAGCAAAACATGCAGTTCAGCCTTCGTCAAGTTCTCCCGTCGTTTCTAGAAACAAGAGCTAGAAACTTCAGGTCAGTCACTCACTCAGGTCTTTTAATTCAGTCCAATGCTTAAAAAAAAACCTTACCATTTATCGGTAAAAACCGAAATTTAGGAATGCTAAAATTTTGATAAGATCAAAGATATGAAGATGTTTGTTTAGTTTGTCACCTTATCAAATTTTGCATAGTTCAATGAATAGAAGTTTAAAGAATTACCAAATATTGGTACAGAGATTGGAAATTAAGGTTGTGATGATAAACTCATGTTTAGATTGTTGGATTACCAATTTTGTATGGTTTGGTTTTGGTAAAAAAAGTAAACAAGCCCCAGTCTCTTGGTAGTAACATACACTGAAGTACTGAACAATTGTCAAACCTCCATGACTTGCTTAGGCCAAGAGGCTAGGAGGATCAGAAAAGGAAGAGGAGATAATCAAGTAGAAAATATTTTTAATATGATAATGATATTAATTTTATGTCACAAAAAA